CTACAGCAAGGAAAAGTGGACTACAGATCTGCCAAGCACTCCAGAGGTGGGAAATGTATTTACCTAGACAGATTTGCTTGAAACACAGAGGCCACAAATACTGAGATTCAGAAACTGTCTTAGAAAACCATGTGTGGGGGACTGAATTCACCCTGCCCCCACCCAAACTGGCTCATGTTTGAATACTTGAGTCACCAGTAAGTGGAACTGTTTTAAAAGTAGTAAAAAAAAAAAGTATTAAGAGGCGTGGTATGTCATTGAGGGCAGGCTTTGAAATTTCAAAAGACATACCATTCCCAGTGTGTTTGCTGCCTCCTGCTTGTGGATTAACATGTGAACGCTCAAGCTGCTATACCAGCCACCTGTCACCACGCCTTCACTCTGCCACCATAGAAACAACCTCTGGAATCATAAGCCCAGGACCCTTTCTAGGTTGTTTTGGTCATCGGAGTTTTATCACAGCAATTTAAAAATAATTAAGGCAGACTCTGTGACAATGAACAAGGAAATTAACACAATACCAAGTTTACTTCAGGGTGAGCAATAAGGCTCACAGGGTAAAGGTACTTAGCTAATAGTAGCCTGACAACCTGAGTTTTATCACCTGTGCCCACAAAGTAGAAGGAGAGAACCTGCTTCCCACACCACTGTGCAGATGGGCTGGCAGATGGAGGGACAGACAAACAGAAAAGAAAAAAAAATTCAGGGGTCAGGATGCAGCTCAGAGGTAATTCACTTGCCTAGCAGGTACAGTCCGGGGTTCAAACCCGTTATTGGTGACTGCTTTTTCGTTCCGGCCGCCCAGACCTGAATAATCACACAGAAACTATGTTAATTGCAACACTGTTTGGCCTATTAGCTCAAGTGTCTTATTAACTAACTCTTACATCTTAAATTAACCTATCTCCATTAATCTGTTTACCACCTACTGGCAAGGTTCCAACATCTCTCTCCTTTGGCAGCTACAAGGTGTCTCCCTGACTCAGCCTATTGTCTCTATATCTCTGTTCTGATTTCCCGCCTGGCTTTACTCTGCTAAGCCATTGGCCCGAACAGCTTTATTCATCAACCAATGAAAGTAACACATATACAGAAAGACTTCCCACATCACAAACCATTGTATTTCAAAAATTTAGAAAACAAGTATCTTATGTTTCATCAGTTTTATAATTATTTTTGTTTTTGAGACAGAGCACTGCTATTCATTATTTAGAACAGGATGAACCAAAATCATTATGTAGCCCTAGTACCTGAATTACACATATATGCTAAATTCTCAAAAAATAATCCAAAAAACTTATATTCATGGAAAAAAGAATGTTACCATATAACAATGTTTTTGAAGGATTCTTTCAGGGTGTTGGGGGGACAGCGACAGAGTAACACTTTTTTTTTTTTTTTTTTTTTTTTTTTTTTTTTTTTTTTTTTTTTTTTTTTTTTTTTTTTTTTTTTTTTTTTTTTTTTTTTTTTTTTTGAGACAGGGTTTCTCTGTAGCTTTGGAGCCTGTCCTGGAACTATCTTGTAGACCAGGCTGGTCTCGAACTCAGAGATCCGCTGGCCTCTGCCTCCCGAGTGCTGGGATTAAAGGCGTGCGCCACCACTGCCTGGCTTTGGATTTTTAAACATTCAGGGCTACACAGTAGGTAGGATCCTATCTCAATCAATCAATAAAATGAAACTACCTTGGGGCTGAGCCCAAGGCTCAATTGCTGCTTGTCTAGCACTCATGGAGCCCAAGTTTCATCTCCAGCACCCCAGCATGAGGAAATGGAGGCATGTTCAGAAATAGAAGGTGGGGCTGGAGAGATGGCTCAGTGATTAAGAGCACACTGACTGCTCTTCCGAAGGTCCTGAGTTCAATTCCCAGCAACCACATGGTGGCTCACAACCATCTGTAATGGGGTCTGGTGCCCTCTTCTGGCCTGCAAGCATATGCAGGCAGAACACTGGATACATATATAAAAAAAAGGTCATCCTCACTACATAGCAAATTCAAGTCCAGCCCAGGATACATGAAATTTTGCCTATAACAAAATTAAAGTATCTGCAGAGTAAACTCGAATTTTGTTTCCTTTGAAATAATTCTTGAGGCCAAGAATAAAATAGCACACAAACAGCCCATAACATAGGCACAAAAAATTATATTCAACATAAGTAGCAATAAGTGCTTTAAGCTGCAGGCTAAATTTCTCACTAAAATACAGACCACCATCCTAGGCTGAATTTGCACCAACTTACAATTATTACCTCAGACTCTAAATTATCTATAAAACACAGCTAATTATAGAACCCACATTTGAGAACGGTTCTAAGAATTATTTTTGTAAATACAAGTGAATTGCCTAAAGAGGTCCTGGCACATAGGAGGTACTCAATATTCTCTATTTCTTCTTCTTTTTTTAAAAAAATATTTATTTATTTGTTATGTATACAATATTCTGTCTGTGTGTATGCCTGCAGGCCAGAAGAGGGCACCAGACCTCATTCCAGATGGTTGTGAGCCACCATGTGGTTGCTGGGAATTGAACTCAGGACCTTTGGAAGAGCAGGTAATGCTCTTAACCTCTGAGCCATCTCTCCAGCCCCAATATTCTCTATTTCTAATCTTGCTTGGAATTTATCAATAGGGGGAAAAAAGCTTTAGTAATAAAACCAGAGACTTCATCACTAGTAACCCACAATTTTTCTAAGTCCATTTTTTTCTTTGTTGTTTAGTGAAAAAGTTTTACTAAGTAGGCCCTGAACTTGAGCTCCTCCTGCCTTGCTTCCTGAGTGGTGGAATTAGGAATATGGTACCACACCCATCTTAAATCTATTCTTTGGAATTAGCTTTCCCTCTTAACATGAATTTACAAGGCGAATCAGTGATTTTTGTTTAGCTCTTTTCCCACTTGGGTAAAAATAAAAATTTTACCTGTTCTAGTTAAGTTAGAACGTCAAAAGTCCAAACGGAAAAAAAGGGTTTAGAGGCTATTTCCTGAGTGATAAAAATATAAAAGGGCATAAAAACACCAGACCTTTACAAAATCTTGTTAGAAGAGATTCTTCAAGAAGTGTGGCATTAAGCTTATACTTTCAAAAGGTCTTTGTAAACTAGTTGACTGTGGTGTAGCTCACTGCTAGTAATCCCAACAGGGGGATCTGAGGCAGGAGAGGCAGACAGAGAGAATGGCTCTAAATCAAAACAAAGAGGTTGGATAAGGAAGTAGATTTACAATCCCAGCACTTGGGAAAGTAGAGATTGAAGGACCAGGACATCCAGATTTATTTATTTATTTATCTATTTATTTATTTGGTTTTTCGAGACAAGGTTTCTCTGTAGCTTTGGAGCCTGTTTTGGAACTAGCTCTTGTAGACCAGGCTGGCCTCGAACTCACAGAGATCCGCCTGCCTCTGCCTCCCGAGAGCTGAGATTAAAGGTGTGTGCCACCACCGCCTGGCTGGGGGAGAAGTATTTTTAAAACTTGAGTTTTCCCTCCTGCTTTCTCTTAGGTCTATTGAAACAGTCTTCAGGGTTCAAAGACCAAGTTGTTCAAAATAACTGCTTTATGTTTTTTCTCTTGTTTTGACAGGGTTTCTCTGTGTAGCCTTGGCTGTCCTAGAACTTGCTCTGTAGGCCAGACTGGCCTCAAATTAAGAGATTCGCCTGCCTCTGCCACCCAAGTGCTGGGATTTAAGGTGTGTGCCACAACCACCCGGCTCGGCTTCTCATTTTAAATTACTAGTTTCTTCAGGGTTTGCCCTTTTCTTTTGTCTACATTCTGTGAATTTCACTTAATGAAAGAAAATATACATGTTGGGCAAAACTTTTAAAGTTGTTTCTTTGAAGAATAAATATAGTTACCTTGTTGCATTAATCGGACGGAACAGGCACTTTAGTATGTTTGTAGTTGTTTCGTATCTAATTTATTACAAATTTATTTCAAAGATTTGTGGGGTTTGATTTTTTTTTTCCCCCGAGAGTTTTAGAGCCTGACCTGGAACTAGCTCTTGTAGACCAGGCTGGCCTCGAACTCACTGAAATACACCTGCCTTTGCCTCTGGCAGTCAAAATTTTTGTAGTCAAAAATCTGGAAGTCGCTGGGTGGTGGTGGTGCATGCCTTTAATCCCAGCACTCGGGAGGCAGAGGCAGGCAGATCTCTGTGAGTTCGAGGCCAGCCTGGTCTACAAGAGCTAGTTCTGGGACGGGCACCAACGCTACAGAGAAACCCTGTCTCAAAAAACAAAACAAAACAAAAAAAACCCCACTTCTCTCCACCTGTTAGTTGAACCAAATGAGGACCATACCCTTAAGCAATCAGAAAATCTTGCAATAAAATGTTCCAAAGGTCCACGAGTTCCCACAGTAGAATCACAAAGTCTCCCTTTCTTGGCCAGGCGTGCCGGCGCACTTTAATCGTAGCACTCGGGAGGCAGAGGCAGGCGGATCTCTGAGTTCGAGGTCAGCCTGGTCTACAGTGCCAGTTCAAGAACAGCCAGAGCTAAACAGAAGGAGAAAAAAAACCTGCCTCCAAAACACAAAACGGCAACAATAATAAACCCTTCCCTTTTCTGTGAAAAAGACGACCAACGGCGGAGAAATCAAAGGGATCCTCGCAAGGCGAAGCAGCAATTTCTCTGTCTAGTAGAGTTGCCAGATTTACAAACCAGAAAGATGTAGTCGGGGGGGAACGTTCACAAATAAAACAGCAGCTCAGAACTTTCTCCAAAAGTGTGCAACAGCTACCAACTTCAAGAGCCCCGAGCAAAGTCTCCCGTCGCTCAACTACTGCGGGTCGGAGTCGCCCCGCGCCTTTCTCAAGGTCACGCCGGTTCCCAGGTCCCCGACCTTTCCCCACCGAAAAGGCGGCCGAACGCACCGCGCCCCTCTCGGCTCGAACTCTCAGCCCCGCAAGGTTCCGGGGTTAGGGAAACACCCCGAATGCTCTCCGCCGGGCCTGGGGCCCCGTGCGGCGGCGTTCCCGCCCAGACTCCCCCGGACCCGGCGCGCTTCACCTACCGTCGCTCTCGGCCCTGACGAGCAGGGACATGCCCTTCAGCCGCTCCACGTAGCCGGAGGACACATGGCCAGTGCCCCGGTCGTCCCACTGCCGGTCCTCGTTGAGCGTGTAGACCTTCACCCGCCGCCGGGTGTCGGTCATCGTGGCGGCCGGGGACCCCGCCCGAGTGGCCCGGGGACTGTGTCCAGGAAAGGCGGGCGGCCGCAAACGGGAAACTCCGGGCCCTCAGTGCCGCCGCTGGCCGCCGCGGAGCTGCGCCGCCGCTCGCATGGCCCGCTCCCGGGTCCGAGCCCAGGGCCGCCGCCTTCGCTCGCCGCCCCGCTCGCTCCTCGGCGCTATTGTCCAGGCCGGGTGAGCGCGGCCGCCCGGCAGCCCCGACGGGGACGCGCAGCGCTGAGCTGCCTACCGGCCCGCCGTTCACACAAGGGGCAGCTCGGTTCACAGCTCTGCTCCCGCCTCCGCCATGACCTCCGCAGAGCCGCTTCCCGCGCCGCCGCCGCCTCCTCAGGCCGCCGCCGCCATGTTTTCCTCCCTTGTACCTGGCCCTGCCGCCGCCGCCGCCGGAGCCTCCGCTCCGCTCCTCCCGCTTAAAGCATCCGAAGCGGATGAGCTAGCGCTGCCGCGGAGACTCCGAACGTCCCGGGCGACCTGAAAACCCCTAGGTCTTCTTAGAAGCCGCCTTCTCTACCCCACCGCCTCTTCCGTCTTCCTCACAGAGCCAAAGCCGCCGCCATCTTGACTCGCCCCTCAAAAGCGGCGCGCGGGGCCACCTAGGCAGCGGCGGCAGGGGCGGCCCGCAGGCCCCACCACTTAAAGAGACAGGCCCCGAGCCAGCAGCCTCGCTGCGGCGGAGGCCTCGCGCCGAGGCGGACCCGGAGCCGCGGGGGTGGCGGAGCGGAGGAGGCGGGACGCGAGTCGCGCCGGTGTCGGACCGGGACTCCCTCGCGCAGCCCAGCACGTAGTGTCGTGCGGGCGCGGGCTGCGTGTGCGTCCGTCGCACCCTGAGTTCGTCATCAGCCCTGTTGTGGGCAGGGAAGGGGTGTGGAGTCGCTTGGCGGCCTAAGAACCAGTCTGGGTTTTGGACTCTGATCCCGTAGCTTACCCTTCTCCTTGTGTGCTTTCTCCCGCCGCTTCCCCGGAGGGCCTTTGGGGTCGGCCCCAGAGCACGGGCTTCTGGCCTCTTTCCTTGGTTTGAAATGAGAAGCTACTGGGGAAAAACCGTTGGGGCCGCGGCGGGCCTCGCACTGGCCGGACGAGTCTACTACACGCTTGGCACGGTGTTCATTGCGCGGCACGGGTCATTCTGAGCACCCAGCTCCTTTTCTCTGCCGGTTATCAGAGCTGATGTTCTTTTGCTTGTGTGTGTGTGTGTGTGTGTGTTAAACAAAACAAAACAACACGTCTTGAAGGCCTTGCAAAGATAAATGCAGTACTGTAAGATCAAGATGAATTTTTTTGTTTTTGTTTTTGTTTTGTTTGTTTTTTTTTTTTTTTGAAACAGGGTCTCACTATGTTGCTCTGACCGGCCAAAGCAATGTATGTGAGAAGCTGGGACCTTCCTCACCCCACAACTTGAGAGACAAGAGGAAGACATGTCTGAAAACGTTTGCAAACAAAATTGGCAAGTATGGAAAAACAAAGCCGTTGCTTTAGCCACTGGAATCCAATTGTTTCCAGTATTTAGATGGAGCCCATGGACTACCAAGCAGACCAGATTATCAATCAGTATGTCGCACTGGTGTGCTGATTGTTTTAAAGCAGTGCTTCTCAACCTTCCTAGTGCTGCGACCTTTTAATACAGTTCCTCATGTCGTGGTGACCCCTACCATAAAACTACTTTGTTGCTGCTTCCTAGCTATAATTTTGCTACTGCTATCAATCATAATGTAAATATCTGATACGCAGGATATATGCTGTGCATCCCTGAAGGGGTGGTGACCCACGAACCTCTGTTTGGGTTTTTTTTTTTTCCCCCCGAGACAGGGTTTCTCTGTGGTTTTGGAGCCTGTCCTGGAACTAGCTCTTGTAGACCAGGCTGGTCTCGAACTCACAGAGATCCGCCTGCCTCTGCCTCCCAAGTGCTGGGATTAAAGGCGTGCGCCACCATCGCCCGGCCACGAACCTCTGTTTTTAAAAAACTTGTGGATTATCTAAGAGAGGCTGTACCCTGGATAGTTCCTTATTTGCTTTAATTCTTTACCCATCAAAGACGAGATTTGCTTTCAGTCCTCTTTGCTGGGGAAAGAAAACTGGAATAAAGCACACCTAGCCAGCATGACAGTATCTGCCTCTTGGATGATAAAGGACATTATTTACAATCTAATCTGTGTCTTCTGGAGTCATTCACCTCTGAAATAGTTTTGTTCTACATTGTCTAAGTTGCTAGACTCTGGCTCTATCTGTCCCACTCCCCTCTCCCCCCAAAAAGTGCATTTTAGGGACTTTGAATCAGGCCCAACCAGGATTTGCGCTTCTCAGAATTTCAGAATAGCCAGCGTCCAGCAGACGCTGTTTACTAGTGCTTCTTTAATATAGACGTACACAGGGGATTAAGAGGAAGTGAGGAGCCCAGAGGGACATTCTCCAGTACATGAGTATAGGCTTCTCGAAGAGTCAGTTTGTCGTTTATTTTTCCTTTTCCCCACACAACAGTCAAATACAGAATTTGGGTGGATTTGAAGTTACTGTCTTCAAAAGGTTACTGAGGAGTCTGATGAGACCTGCAGCACAGTCCACAAGATTAGAGCTGAGAAAGTAAAACTCTAGATCACAGGGACATGGGGTGCACTTACTGTAGATAAGGTTGCTGAAAATGCCTGAGGAAATGAATGAGACCCTCCCTATGGTTGTGTACACTTAGGCCTTAAGCATTGCTATTTTATATAACACACACACACACACACACACACACACCACAAGGGACTATATGTTAGGGCAATGTTCATAGCAAATATTGTTACAGAGAAATTCTTGCTTCTCAGCTTCAGTCACTATGATGGCATCTCTGTTGACATCAGACTGTGCCTTGGCTAAGTTACTCCATAGTGTATGAAACAGTTCAGGCTGTGTCTTGCCCTAGGAGACCCCATTTTCCAAGCAGCTCTTGATTCCATTTTGAGGGAGAAGGATGACCGCAGCCCCTGGGTGAACCCATAAATTTGATCATCTGTCGAGTACCATCCACCTGCCCCAGACTGATAAATTACATTTCTAGGAGTAGAATGGGAGCTACCCTATGAATTGAGGATGTAGGAGGACAAGGGTCTATTAGAATATCAGGGATGTTTATGCTACTTTTCTGTTACCGTAACAACACCATGATACAGGCACCTTGCTGAAGCAATAGCTCAGAGCTTGTGTTTTGGGATTACTATCATGAAGCAGAGAGAGCTGTCTTGGAATAAAATGGGGTGTTGAAACCTCAAAGCCAGCCTCCAGTGGCACACCGCCAACAAGGCCACACCTCCGAATCCTTCCCAGACAGTTCCACCAAGCATTCAGATATAGCCTATGGCAACATTCTCATTCAAACCACCACAAAGTGGGCTAAAGAGATGGCTCAGCATTAAGAGTGCTGACTGCCCTTCCACAGGAAGCAGGTTTGAGTCTCAGCAAGCAAACAATGACTAGCAACCATCTGTAACTCAGGTTCTAGGGCATCCAATGCTCTCATCTGGCCTCCATAAGCTCTGCATGGTGCATATGTGTAGGTACAACACCCATGCACATAGAAATAAAAAGCATTAGGAAAACGAATTCCAAGAACATGCAGAGCATGCCAGACTAAGGGAAAGGAATAATACCCAGACCCCACAAAGGAATGGATACCGAATACTGTGATGGCATGGGCTACACCAAGCTATCATTATTATCATCCAATAACCAGAGAACTCCCTGTCCTGGGGTCTCTGCTGGGTCTCCTGCTGTTGACCTGGTCTGCTTGACTGCCTGCCATCCACCTGTTGGCCCATCTAGGGAACCTGGACCCACCCTTGGATCCAGATTTGGTCTTCACCCTCTAGCTGAAGTAGATCGTCATTCTCAAACTGTAGCTGCAGTAGCAGCTGCCTTCTGGCGCTGGTCTGGTTTATTTTATCAACACAGACTCAGTCCCTTTCTGAAAACACCTACTACAGGTTTTTAGACTGGCATTCATTCTCTAAACCAAATACACACACACACATACACATTTACTGTATGGTGTGTGATAACAGTTAATCCTGGTGGCTTACATGAAAATGGCCCCCATAAGCCCATAGGTAGTGGCACTATTGGGATGAGTGGCCTTATTGGAGTGGGTGTGGCCTTGTTGAGGAACGGTGTCACTGAGGGTGCGCTTTGAGGTTTCAGATGCTTGGACCAGGGCCAGTGTCAATCTTTCGTCTATCCAGAGATGTAGAACTCTCAGCTACCTCTCCAGTACCACATCTACCTGTATGCCACCATGCTTCCCACCATGATAGCAATAGACTAAACCTCTGAACTGTAATCCAACCCCAATTAAATATTTTCCATTATAAGAGTTGCCATGGGCCGAGCTGTGGTGGCGCACGCCTTTAATCCCAGCACTTGGGAAGCAGAGGCAGGTGGATCTCTGTGAGCTCGAGACCAGCTTGGTCTACAAGAGCTAGTTCCAGGACAGAGAAACCCTGTCTCGAAAAACCAAAAAAAAAAAAAAAAAAAAAAAAAAAGAGTTGCCATGGTTGGGCTGGAGAGATGGCTTAGAGATTAAGAGCATCGTTTCTGGTTGTTCTCCCAGAGGTCCTGAGTTCAATTCCCAACAACCATATGGTGACTCACAGCCGTCATTATAATAAGATCTGGTGCCCTCTTCTAAGCTGCAGACATACATTCAGGCAGAGCACTGTACACATAATAAACAAACCTTAAAAAACACAAAAAAAACCCAAATAGTTGCCATGGTTGTGTTGTCTCTTCACAGCATTGAAACCGTAACTAAGAAATAAGATTGGAATAAAGAACCTGTTATTCACCTTAGCCAAGTTACCAAGGTAGGTGGTAACAGATGACAAATGCTGTCATTAAAACAGCTAAACCCTGCAAATGTTCTGCTGTTTAATAAATTCTGACACTGCGGGAAGACATATACTTATTTATGTTTCTGATGTATTAAGTTCACAACAGTTTCCCTTCCCATGTCCCCATAATTTCCCCTGTGTCTCTGTCCTGCCTCAATGACAAAAGTCTTCAGAGGGAAAACTTATAATTCTCCCGGGAGGGTGTGTGAGAAAGCTTTCTTTTTTTTTTCTCTCTTTAATTTTGAAGTACTT